GGCCTTCAACGCCCTGCCGCCCCCGGAGCTCTGCACCCAGGGGGCAAACGGGTGGCAGGCACCGAACCTCGGGTTCCTTCCCCGAGCCTGTGGTCCCCACTCTGCCCACCCGCTGTGGCAGAGCCCCCCACGGCCATCCTCACCCGCATCCCTGCTCGCAAGTCACCGGGCGCTTTGGATTGTGCTCGCAGTCATTGAGGTGAGACATCAGGTTGTCGAGTCGCACAACTGCCGTACAGCCGAAAACAGCGTTGTCGCAAGTGATCTGCAGCTTCGAGAGCATATTACGCATGATCCGCGGGACGGGGCGGAGGTGGGCAACCGTCACGACGCTGCGGTCCACGGGGCACGTCTGCTGCTGGGAGAACCACTGGGTGATGCAGGCATTGCAGAAGGCGTGCTCGCAGTGAGGAGCCTGCGGAAGGGCAGAGAACAGCCACGCGTTACTCAGACCCGACGGGGAAGCGTTTGCTGGCCCCTGTGCGGCGGGCAACCTTGACCAGAGAAAGGCTCTGAGTCTTTGAGGGGCGCACAGCGGCTACGTGCTGCCTCGGGGGAGGAATGCAAAGGGCACCTCCATTACACAAGCAGGCACGGTGCCCGCACAGGCGAACGAGACACCAAAAGCCAGGGCTGGAAAGGCCAGAGCCACGCACAGCGCCTTCCACTACAACGGGAGAGGCGGTGCTGCAGAGCCGTCCGCACTGCCCTCGGAAAAGCGGGTGCCCACCTTCACCCACCTCTGGTTCTAATCCGCACACCCGGCCCCACCAAGGCAGTCTCTTCCCCCAGACACGTGGGGGCTTCCAAACAGAGCGGGTCCCTGGGCCAGGGCACAGACCCCTCCGAGAAGCGCTCCTGCTCTGCTCCGTCCCAGGTAAAGCTGCCTCCTGAAAGGGCTGAGGGGGCAACGCAGGTCGGGAGGCTAAATTAAACATTTTTCCAAGGCAGATTAGAACATTACTTCACTGTATTGACACAGCTGGGCTCTTCCAACTGCAGCTTGAACGCAAGAGCGGAGTATTAAGATTGGGGAGGGGGAGCGGGACAGACGCCGGCTCTTGGGACAACACTGAGCGTTCTGCCACAGAGCAGAATCCCAGAGTTACAGGAAGGTCAGACGCATCCACGGCTGTCGCATTTACAAGCTGCTCCCGCAGCGCACGGCGCCTCGTACCAGCCGACACAGGCAGGTGAGGATTGCAGGACGTACGCTGAACGGGGAGTCACCCGCCCAAGCCACAGGACCATCTCGGGAGCTTTAGTGCAGCCCCTGCGGCATCGCAGCTTGAGCCAACCCACCCAGCCCAGCACGGAGCCAGCGGGCAGCTGAGCGTGTCAGACACGGCTCCGGCGCAGGGACAGCCTCTCCTCTCCCTCGCATTTTCCTGAAGTCCCGCTCTCCAAGTCTTCGGCTTTCTCCCGTTCTCCACAAAAACTGGCCCCTCGGCTCCCCTTGCAGCGTTTTATCAAGCCCGTGCCCAACCCCGGTGAGATTTAGCGATGAGGATACCGCAGCGTCACCAAAGGCAGACTGGAGATGTGACAGACAATAAAGGAAACCCATTTCACTGGCTGCTGCAGACAGAGAGCCACTCCGTGCCCACAACACAGGGACGGGCCCTGGGGAGTCTCCATCCTTTTTGACACCGAAATCTCGGGGCTGGAGACAGCCCTGAGCCCTCTGAGCTGTCACTGGGGGTGGCCCTGCTTTGGGCGGGCAGAGGGACCGCGCTGGGAGGGAGGAACGAGGGAAGAGTCCTCAGGAATTTGCTCCCTCCAAAGCAGGAGTGGTCAGAGGGCAGGGCTGGTGCCCAGCTACAAACTCAGCCCCATGGCGGCTGCGTTACGGCAGTGCTGGCAGGAGCAGGAGGGCTGGCATCCAACAGACAGGCTGTTACCCACGCTTGAGAACAGCCTGGGAACAAGGGAGTTTGTGATATCACATTCGCAAAAGGAGATTTAAATAAACCTGCTTAAGAAAGCTGCAACTTTCCCTCCGCTTTGTGCGACGGCCTGTGATTGCGCTCACATGCCGACAAGACTTTTAAAACCAAAGCTTGTTGGACATAACAGATTAGTGTAGCTGGAAGGTGCTAACACGCGATTTTAACTACAATAGAGTGCAGTTCCACGCAGCCCCGGCGCACCGGCACAGGGTGGGCGACGGTGCACAGCCCCCGCCTCTCCGGGATCCCCACCAGGCAGCCCACCAGCGCAGCACAAGTCACAGCTCCTGTGACGCAGTTCATTATTAAGCAATGGAACTGCAATAATTATGCACGCATTTCAGATTAGCTCAGTTTGGTTTTAATCCGTTTTATTTCAAAGAAAGCTGGATCTACGCTGAGGGCACTGAGCTCCCCAGCACACGGCCACAGCTCTGCCAGAGCAGGAGCACCTCCGGTGGCACAGAGCCTGAAGAGAAGGGGCAGGGACCGTGGGGACAAAGTCCCACGTCGAAGCCAGCTCCGCTCAGCCAGCAGCGCTCCGCTCAGGTCAGCGGCAGTGAGAGGGCTGTAAAAGCCGCCGTTAACCTCTCCCCGAGTCACAGGGCTTAGCAGGACACAGCGACAAATACAGCCCTTCCTCCAGCGCCGAGAGGCACAGGAGGGCTGGAGACCACGCGGTGCTGCGGGGGGACGCTGTGCTGGGGGAGCTCGTAACAGAGCTCACAGGAAAGCTGCGTCCAACAGCTCTTCCGCTTCGCGGGGAGCGGAGGGAGGAGTGGAAGCAGCAGCACCCTGTGCGCACCCTCCTTCCCCGAGCGGCTGCAGAAGCCGCAGAGGGATCCACCAACCAACCCGGCCGTGCCGGGCCCCGGCAGAGCAGCGTGCTGGTAGCAGAGCTGTGGGCTGTCCGTCCTCCAAGCCACGTTTTGCTGGCAGGAGAGGAGCAGGAGAGTCGAGCCGGGCTCCCGACAGCGAGCAAAACAGATCCGCTTTGTAGCCCGGAGGAAGCATGCGTGCAGGGAAGCGGAGAGGGTCCACCAAGCATGAAGCCATAAGCAAGGGACAGATTTTAGCATAGCTGATGCCATCTCTGCCTTGGGACAAGGTGACGGGCGTGCAGCTGCATTGAGCCTTGGTACAAAGACTTAAGAAGGGAGTAAGGAAAGAAAAAGTAAGGGAAACCTGTCCCAACACAACCTTATCCCTTCCTTCCGCCTCCTTGCTGACCCCAGGACATCACCCAAACCCAGAACTTGAGTTCACTTCCACCAGAACTCACACAACCACAGACATTTATCCCCAGTGCTGCTTCCTTACCCGTGCTGTTGCCTTAAACCATTAGTAGGAAAGTTAAGAATCCATGGAGCTCACCTAATGCACACGCTGTGTGCGGCGGCCATCATCTGATCAAGACATCTAGAAGTCTGGAGCTGCAATCGGAGGCTTTCAGTAGCCACAGTCAGTGCTCAGACGGAAACCTACCTGAACTGGCTCCTCCAGGACCCCGCTGCAGATGGGGCATATAAGGTCTTCATCAACATCCCCCTGAAAACGTGCTACATCATACCCCATTGCTCATCACCGATGCCAGAACCCTGTGGAGGGAAAAAGAAGAGCAGTTAGGAGCAGTTGAGCGTCCTGTGGTGCGCAGCCAGAGCAGGTCCCAGCCCTCACAGCATCCTGGTTCCCAAATTCCTGCTCTTCCCGCCCAGCGTGACCAGCTGCGGTAGCCCCGGGCACGGCTGGAGCACACAGGGCAGCGCCGTACCGAGGAGCACG